ATATATTTATTAGTTAAATTATAAATTTAATATACATTATTCAACATGAAGATTTTCTGAACTATATAAACTCTTCTATGTGCTTCTATACAGAATAATGTACTACTTAATATTATATAAACTGCAATTGCTCAAATTCACTTGCCCAACCCACTTCCGCATTCTTTAACAACCACTCACACACTTGCGACACCACAGAACATCCCCACACAAATCCAACCTACCGAACCTAGCTCCTTGCCAAACCTCAAAGTCATTTCCATGCTAAGCCAACACTAATGCCAAAAACACATTTTATCTACTGGGAAATCTCTTTTTGTTTCTATTTATTTTGAGATAAGCTTAAACAAATGCGCAGGTGAGTGCTCGCCAGGTGGAATGCGTTAAATTTTTGTATAATGCCAGCTGGCGTGACATAAAGCTGCTAATTAACAACAGATTGCTGGGTGAAATTAAGCAAAAATTGCGCATACGCAGCGTGCGCTTCTAATATTAAAATGAGCATGAATTTAAAGTGCTACTTGACAGTAGAAAAAAAATATATATATGCAGTTATATATATGTATATAAATATATGGTGAGGAGGAGCCACAACACGCATGTGTTTAGATAAATATTTAATTAAAGGCGCAATATGCGACGACGCTAATTATGGCCAACAAGGCAACGGCCAAGCTAAGACCAAGACCTACACTAACTGGCATTTACGTGAATGTCAGCAGATTGTGCCTTATCCGACAGCAAATGCCGGAGTTCAGTGGAAAGGGAAGGAAAGACTGAGAGATAGAGAGAGGGAGAGGTAGGGGGTTAAAATTTGTTGTTATTTTGCATTAGAAACTCACTCGAGCTGAACCCTAAACGACATAATTTACAAAAGCGCTTTGGCAGAGTCAGAGTCCTAACCGGCGAGCCGGGCCCGGACCTGGACCCGGACCCGAAGGTTTCCGGCTCATTCCAGCTGACGTCCAGCGTCCGGCAAGTGTCAGTTGCACTGCTGTTGGCGGCTGGTGTCGGTCGTTGTGGCAGTTGTGCAACATTTCAAGCGCATTTAATGCGCATAATGTCAACTGCAATAGCCTGCTATAGCAATAGCAACAGCAACAGCAACTGGCTAAGAGACACGGCGTAGAACCACATTTACGTTGTTTCAACTCTCGGCCGAGTTAAGCATTTTGTTTACTGTTTGTTTGTGGTTGGGCCGTTGCTTTTGTGTACATACCGCTGCCACGCCCACCTTTAATTGAGCAACTTTTGCACATTTAATGCCAACAACAGGCTGCAATTTGCACAGGTAGAGACCTAAAACACACACACACAGCTTAAATGGATGTATATAGCCTGTAGTTAGTCTTTGTCTTTGGGGAATTTTCGTCAACTGCATTTTGTGCATAAAAGTTTTCTCTGAGGTGCAGAAGAAGCGAATAAGCGCAAGAGCAGAATGTAGACAATTTTAAGCTGAATGGTGAAGCTGGCGGAGCAGAGCAGCGAGAGGGGGGATTAGAAGAAATCTAAGTAAATAGGAGAAAAAGGAGAGAGTAAGAAAATCAGTTAGAGATAAATAGCAAGAGAGAGAAAGAGACAGACAGAGGGAGAGAAAAAGGAGGTGAGAGCAAATGAGATAGAGACAGAGAGAACGTGAGAGAGAGAGAGAGGGGGACAAGGAAATTGAGAGAGAGGGATATATAGAGGGGATAGACAGAGAAAATGAGTAAGAGTGAGACAGAGAGAGAAGGAAATAGAGAGAGAGAGAGAGAGAGAGAGAGGGAGAGAGAGAAATATAGACGAGATAGACAGAGAAAGAGACAAAGGGAGATACAGAGAGTGAGATAGAACAAGAGACTGATAAGGAGGGACAGTGCGATATAGAAAGAGTAAAATAAAGAAAGAGTAAGATTAAGAAAAGGAGACAGAGATAGAGAGAGAGGCAAAGAGAAAGAGACCTAAAGTCAAACAGAAAAAGAAAAGCTATATAAAAAAAGATATAGAGATAACTTTACTCCATAAAAATTGCTAACCATAAAATAACACAATATATAAATAAAACCCAACCACCTAACCTAGCGATTATATTCACAGCTCAGTCTAAAACCAAAGATAGGATAGAAAAGCAGGCAAACAGGATTCTGATTGAGCGAAAGTAAGCTTAAGATATCTGGAATTCACACAGTCACCTCTACTAGAATGTTGCACTTAGTAAACAAAAAAATATGTAAAATAAAAACTGGGAATTCGCACTCGGCAAGGGAAGTATTTTGAGAATGTCACACAATGTAAAATAAGTTGATCAAAAATTCCAGAGCAATCGCATCGACGTTTAATGAAGACGTCAAGGAATGCAACTCCATAAGGAACAAAGCAATTCAATGTAGCTGAAAAGTAGAAATTTCGTCAGACATTCAGGAATGCAGCACAAAGTAGAAGGGCAACTTCAGATGTAATCGAGTCATAGGGGGTGGGAGAGGCAGGGCTCAATTTCCACAGACGCATGCAAGGGCTTGTAAGTCGTTTAATAGTCAAATATACGAATATTTATGTTGAGTGCCAACCAGTAGCTATTTGAGCCAACTTTTGTTATCGTAGCCAAAAACAATTTCAATTGAATGTCAATTTGCATTTACCACAAATTGAACATTTCGAGTGCAGTTAAGTGCATTGCGATGTTAGCTGCTAAAAATACATGACTTATTCACGTACAGAAAAAAACAGAAGCGTTCGTTTAATTATTAAACAGATTCAGGTAAAATAAAAAATAAAAAAGTATAT